ACATTAAATAAAATGATTACACCCCAAAAAAAGAACAAATCACGACAAAGTTAAATCAGGAATTTCAAAAAGTGAACAAGACATTGTAATTTTTTTTGTCTTCTGATTAGTAGAGAAGTGAATAGATTGCATATATTGTGTAAACTCAATCATGAAGAAGATAAAATTTGTTTCTTTCTTTAAACATTTGCTTTTATGTAAATGAAATTTGGCCTAACAGTGACCGGTAGCTATCGGTGTTTGACAGCGTAATCCGTGCTGTCCCAATTCTCAATTGTTTTGCACACTTGTAACCTGCGCACTCGGACAATTATGTGCACTTTGACTGAATCCACACTTCGCAGAGGGGCGTAGGGTGTGCACTGAGCATTGGGACTGGGCCATGGAGTGGCATCAGATTTGAACGGTTGTAGGATTTCTCTTTTGTTTTTGGCAAATGTACCAAACAAACCCTCTTCAACAATGAGCTCAGCATGAGTGGAAGATGAGGCATGGAGAATTTTGTTTTTCACACAAGGCGGCTGAGACGGCTCCGTGTGAGTGGGAGCATGTCCAGCGTCATAGCAGTGATGTCCCTCTTATACAGAGGTCGAGCAAGGTATACAAGGAACTTAATTGCTATTAATACTCAAAATGCCCTGCGCTGTAGTCCACTTCCTGCTTTTGGAGGGGTCTCACATGCATTTGAACCAGAATTCACTTCAACTGAGTCAAGCTCTTGGTTTGTAGGAAGACCAGAGTTTGCTTTTTTGGTCTACGTTTGATGCATTCACACCCAGTGTTGCATAAAGTACCACAAAGTGATACTTGAGTAAAAGTACAAGTATCTTACCAAAAGTTACTTTGGTAAAATTTAAAGTCTACTTTATGAATATTACTTAAGTAAAAGTCTTAAATTCTGTGATTTTTTTGTAGTTTTAAAAGTAAAAAGTATTGATTTAAAATTAGCAGTTAGATTTTCTGTAATGACATTTATTAGGAGGTGACCTCCCCAAAACATGCAGAAATGACTGTTGTATTAAAATAATTAATTTATGTCAAATTTAGGATGCACTAGTCTAGTTGTTTCAGTTTATATACATATATCAAGGCTGCCCAAACCTTTTCCCCAAAATGAAAATCTATCTGAGGGCTGTGGCTAAATGCAATGATATAGTTCATGAAATACAAATACTTCTTAAGTACAGTCCTTTTATTTTAATTATTATGTCCTGCTGGAGAGTGACATAATTTGTTTGTGTACAAAGTAATACATTATCCAAATTTTATATATTTATACTTCTCATTCAACCACAATTAAATTCCCTCTATCTAGGAGGTATTTTTTACAATAACAAGCTGGAATGAAAACAAGCCAAATTAAAAATAAAAGTAACCACTTTCTACTTCTTGCCTTTTTTAAAAATGTAGTGAGTAGAAAGTACAGATAAATGTGTGAAAATGTAAGAAGTAGAAGTAAAAAGTAGGCTGAAAAATAATTACTCAAGTACAGTACAGACACCCAAAAATTGTACTTAAGTACAGTAACAAAGTATTTGTACTTAATTACAACTCTGTTCACACCTCCCCAAATGAATCAGACTTTCTAAGCAAACAAATTAGAGTTTGATTATAGTGAACTAAACAGGGCTGGTGTGAATACACCCTTATTCTCATTATTTCATTTAGGCTTTTTTTCCCTTAATAAATTTTTATTTCTCGGGTTTCTTTCCACTCCATAGACTTATTTTCTCCTCAAAAACTAGCACTAACAACATCTTCTCCCTCTGTGCCCATGTCTTCAGTTCGGTAGCCATGGCAGCCTGCTGCTAAATCCCTTTATTTGAGCTCATGTGTGACTTCTTCGATGAAACTTTGTTACGGCACATGCCAGCAGAGATAAAGTGCAGTGTGTGTATGTGGGTAAAGAGCTGTCTGTGTTTCAGTAATGAATGAGTTGGTGAGCAAAATAATATGTCCCGCATGTTTCTGTCTTTCTCCACATTATGTTGAATGTAAGTTGTGCACATTGTGTTGCTTCTATGTACTCATTTTGCAAGTGTGCATGTGATTGTGTGTGTGTATGTGTGTGTGTGTGTGTGTGTGTGTGTGTGTGTGTGTGTGTGTGTGTGNGTGTGTGTGTGTGTGTGTGTGTGTGCGAGTTTGCCATCTGTGTTGTGGTTGCTTTCAGAATAGATTAGAGTTGTTTTTTGTCAATAACAGATTCTGGTGAAAACACTGATACTGGTATATTCAGACTTTCGCTCCCACAATAACAGACACCTACTCAGTTTTTTGTGCCTTTAACGGTTTCAGTTTTAAAATCTGTAACATAAATATCAGGATTTATTTCACCAGCTTGTAGTGAAATCATGACTGGAACAAGTTTCACAATCACCAGATTTATTTCTGACACTAGTTTATGAGCAGTCATATTTTTATAAACTATTTAATTTTTATGATGTTATACAGTTTATTGCATATGTTCACTTAGTGAAAATAACCCCATTATCTTTTAAGTATACAGCAAATTTGAATAAGTCCAGCAAAGTCATTTGTGCCACAAAAGCTAAATTCACATTTCTCCTAGGCTTATTATGAAATGAAATCAAAACCTAAAACATTATTTTGTGTATTTGTCTGCCCTTGAGTAAGCAGGTAGAGTCAGCCAACAGAACTGTAATGACACATGCACATAATGATTATAACCCATAATGCTTTGTGAATGAAAATCCACACTTTAGGCTTTTTGTTTTAGACACCGGACCAAAACTGATCACTTTACTGCCCGTTTGAGCTGCATGCACTTACCTTCTGTGTGAGAAAATCCCTCTGCAGTGACTTTCCACTGGATCAGCACTCCAAGGAGCATTAGGATGGGCCAGACCCCCAAGATGACCCACGTAAACCAACACACTGGCTTTTTTGGTGCCACCTGAAATAAATATGAACATGTTTTTCTTGAAGGTTCATTAAGGTGTAATAAAGTTCCAGAATTTAATCACTATTCTGTGCTTACAAAGTACAGAGTAGCCATCTATTATAGTTTGAGTTAAGCTGAACAGTAAAAAAAATGATAAAAATAATTATGCAAATGTAAACTGGTGATTCCAGGGTTATAACTAGATTCACCATGAATCCAGGAATAAAAATGACTGTTTCCATGTAAACATCATAGAATCTAATAAAAAAAATTGAAGGGATTTCATGATCAATAAATGAAAGTGAATAATATCGCAGAAAACCAATTGGATCTCTTAAAAAACTTTATTCTCATCTCTCTCCAATCAGATCCAGCAGTACACAGTCAGACTTCAATCAGCCAGAAGGCCTGGGTGTTTTGTCAGGAAAGCAAAACAAAACAAAGCAAAGCCAAGGCTGCTCTAAGGAGAGACTGCACCAAAACTAACAAAATCTCTGCCCAATAACAACCTTACAACATGTGTCTCTTCCTGGTAATACCCCTGAAGGTGGTACCTTTTATGTCAAATGTTAGAATGTAACCAACCTTTGTTTATGCAGACAGAAAGAACACATTGATAAGACACACCGACTCTCATCCTCTGTTTTAAACCATAAGGCTACAATGATCAGAAAATATAAAAATGCAATAATGGATCAAACATTTAGTCAATTAGTTACAAAATTTCCTTCAAACTAGAACATGTATTTATATATTCACACATATGTAGCTGTCTAGTGACAATGAAATAATATTTAATGTCTTTTTTATTATAAAAGCACATTTTTTGTATATTTGACAGTAAAGGTGACAGCCACCTTCATTTCCTTTCAACTGTTTCCTCAGGTCTTTTCTTGCAACAAGCATAATATTTATGGCAGAATGTGTTTCATTAAGTTTTTCATTTGACCTGAAATGTGTTTTTTTATTTTATTTTATTTTTTCATTTTTTTAATCTAGTAAACATAACTTTACTCGATAAAATTTAAAGAATGACTCTTAAATGTAAAATCAAATAAAACTGAAAAAGTGAATGTTCTCAGAATATAGATATATTTTCTTTAAGTTAATGTGTCCAAAATTCTTGTTGTTTACTCTTTAAAGGATTTAATATCAGAGATTTTATCTGCACAGCTACAAATGTGTCAATATGTTTTGGACTCGCACAAACATGAACAAAAATCCTGCTTCAAGGTGACTGGCGGAGCTCTCCTTCACATCAACAAACTCAGAGACTCAAACAGAAACTTAAGCACATGTCCTCACCTTGAGTCTGTCATAGATGTAGTGCACCAAGGCAAACAGCTCAATAAAATAATCCACTGTGACAGTGATGATAGCAGAGCCAAATGTTGCTGTCGAGAAAGTGACCAAGCAGCGCTGCCACTGGAGAGTGAGGACAGCAAACAGGGTTCCAGAGCCCAGCAGAATACCCAGAGGGACCCACACTGTTTTCGGGTGATAGAACTCCTCCATGACCTGAAAGGGAGGGAAAGTAATGCTTCAGGATTTTTTAGGCCTTTCCTGTTTTCTATAGAAGCAAATAAACTTCAGTGAGTTTTAACTCAGTTGTGGTTGCACTTCCTGTTTCTGGTCTGAGATCAATTTATCTTTTGTACCTCATTTAGTTTGTCTCCTGACTCCCTTGAGTTGAAATCCATGTTGGTTTCCTAATTGCCCTGCACCTTTTGTTAATTGATCAATTACTCCTGTTGGTTTATTGACTCATTCTTTCTTATTTCTTTACCAGTTTATAATTATAACCCTTCTGTACACCAGGACTCACTCTGAACTCCTAAAATATCAGACTATAAAACGCTAGGAGTTATATAT